AAACTCTGTCGGCGCAGCCCGGCCGTGACACCGCGGGGGGACGCGGCACTGCTTCTCCGGGGCAGCACCGCACGGGGGGATAGAGAAATCCCACAGGGAGGAGGCGGCCGCCCGGCACCCCTCGTCCCGGTGTGCTGTTGTTATTGCACGGTCGCAACCGCGGCCATGAGATCGCGTGGGCAATGGGGTTTGCTGTGCTGGCACTGAACGGCGCACGCAGCGAAAGCGTCCCAACCGAGATGGGCCGGGAGCGGGGTTCCGTCCTTCCCCGAGAGCCCCGATGCCCGCGGGCAGGGACAGGGGACGTCGGGGGACACTTCGGGAGGCGTCGCGGAGTTATTCCCGTAGCTCTGGGGCAGCCCCGTTCTCGACACAGGAGCTGCCGTCGGAAGAGGGATAAGAAGATAATTTTGAGGGACTTATGAGAAGCGCCCGTCGAAACGGGAGGAACGCTGCAAAACGGTCACGGACCCAGAGGAAAGAGAGATACACGGAGGCCACGGACGTGCTTGTGGGGTCTGTGGGCCACCTCTGGTAGGACCGCTTCCCCCTGACGGCACCGTAGCGCCCGGGAGAGTCATCGAAGTGGGCCGGGGCTGAGCTGGGAAAACTGGGAAACGCTGCCGTCCGCATCCACCACTCTCGGCGGGTGAAAGGTTTCCTCGCTGTGCCATGGGAAAAGATGCAAATATGCAAACGTTTTCTGGCATTGTCCCCGCTCAGGGTGAAAAGTTAAAGCATAAAAGCGGCGAGGGGAGCTGAGGTGGGGGGGCGACTCTTCAAAGGGGCTCCCGGCCGGGGGGAGCTGGCTGCCGCCCGCATGCTCCCCGGGGCGGGTTCCCGAGGCGTCGGGGTGGGAAAATCCGGGGGTGCCGGGAGGGCAGGACTCGGCCCCCGGATGGACAGAGGCTGTTGGGAGAGGAGCGAGGACAACGTGGGTCTCGCGTGGGTCCCGCGGCCCGCACTCATCCCCGCAGTGTCCCTCCTGGGCAAGGGCTGCGGGTGCTGCCGATGAAGGCTCAGGTCGAGGCCGTCGAGGCTCGGACGGGCGTACAGCGCCGTGCCCTCGGCGGGAGTTTCTCCTCTTACCTCTCGTTCATGGAGTGGGAGCGGGTGGGAAGCGCGCTAGAAAGACAAGCGTGAGGTTTGCGGCTTAAAACACCGACGACGACAAAACGGCTTTGGGGATTTTTAATCAAAACCTCCCTCCTCGCCCCCAACGCCAACAAGGAGAAGGGGCGACGAAGGCGCTGCCCGATCCGCGGTTCCCATCTTCCCACCCTCGCCCTTAGATCTCCTTCTCTGTCTTTTGCAAGTCTCTCGATTTCATCCTTTGAACCTGTGATTGGAGGTTAAAGTGCACCAGGTTGCAATGGAAGGAGGAAGCTCTTAAACAATAAAGGCTTGAATATTTAGCTGTGATCAGGTCGCTGCCCTCTCCTTATCTTTTTAAATGCAAATCGTCTTTTAGGGGTAGTAGCTATATACCCAGCGCCTCTCCACGTCACCTGCCTTTGGTGTGTCTGGGCCATTACTAATAGAGCCTTGTAAACAATCGTTAATCATGTAAGCGCTGCCGGCCATCGCCTTCGGACCGGGAGCGCTCGGCGGCGGCGAACTGCGCGGGGCCGCGGCCCCTCCGCCTGCCCCCTCCCCGCCGCGGGAGCCCGGCCCCGGGCGGCGGCGCTCCGACGGCCCCGGCAGCGGCTCTCCGACGGCCCCAGCAGCATGCCGAGAGCGGCCGCCGGGGCCCCGCCAGCATGTACGTGAGCTACCTCCTGGACAAGGACGGGCCCATGTACCCCGGCCCCGTTCGCCACTCGGGGGGGCTCAACCTGGCGGCGCAGAACTTCGTGGGCGCCGCGCAATACGCGGACTACGGCGGCTACCATGTGAACCTCGACGGCGCGCAGTCCCCCGGGCCGGCCTGGCCCGCGCCCTACGCCGCTCCGCTCCGCGACGACTGGGGGGCCTACGGGCAGGGAGCCCCGCCGCCCGCCGCCGCCGCCGCCGCCGCCGTGCACGGCCTCAACGGCGGCTCCCCGGCCGCGGCGATGGCCTACAGCCCCGCCGACTTCCACCACCACCACCACCACCACCACCCGCACGCCCACCATCACGCCGGCCCCGCGCCGCACTGCTCTGCCGGGGGGATGCAGCCGCTCGGCGCCGCCCCCGCCGCCGCCGCCGTAGCCGCCGCCTCCGCTGCCCCCGAGCCGCTGTCCCCCGGCGGGCAACGCCGCGGCCTGTGCGAATGGGTGAGAAAACCGGCGCAGGCAACGCTCGGTAGCCAAGGTAAGCGGGGGGTACGGGACGGGGGCGGCGGGGGCGGCTGCCCGAAACCGACCCGCTCGGGGGCTGCTCCTCGGTGGCGTCTCCGCCGGTACTATGGGGAAAGGGCAGAGAGCGGGCCCGTGCCGGGGCGCGGGGCAGGGCAGTCCCCCAGGGAGCAGAGGAGCTGCGGGGCCCGGGGACAGCCGGGCTGCGGGGCGCGCCGTCGGATGGACAACCGATTCGCCGTCGGGCTCATCCGGCATGCGGAGGACGGCGTCGCTCTCCGTTCCGCTCGGTCACTTAGAGCCACTTAAAAGATTTTTATAACCAATTACAGTCATATAAATCATCGGCCGCTGTCGCTCCGCATTCGCTTCTGGCTCGCTGGGCTCCAGCCCGGGAAACAGGGCATTGCGGAGGCTGCGGCCCCCACGGGCCGCCCGGTGGGACCCGGAGGTGCGAGGGCGTTCCCCCCAACCCCTCTGCCCCGGGGCCGGCGCCGCGCTCCGTTGTGATGTTAATCCCCCCACGGCCCGGCCGAGCCCTCTCCCTTTTATATGAGCAGAGCTGCTCGCTGCCCGCTTTGATATACACCTTCCTCTCCCATTGTCTCTTTTTTTTCTTTTCCTTCGCGTTTCTATTTCCAGATATATTTACGGCTGAAAAAAAAAAAAAAAATAATAATGAAAATAAAAAAGGAGCGGTGACTTCCGCAGCCATCACCGATCGTGTGCCCTCCCCACCCCTCCCCCGGCCCTGTGCACGGCGCTGCCCCCGGGCTGCGACGTTCCCCTCGCGGGGTCGGTGCTGCTCGGCCGGGCCCTCCGCATTCAAATTGCGCCTTTGGAGCAGCGCGTATGGTAATGCGCGGGGCCGGGGGATGAAAGCGGCCGCCGCCATTTGCTCAGTAGTGGTAATTCAAACAGAATGTGGCTGTCATTAAGGCTTTGAGAAGGGTTTTTCTTTGATAAGATCTCCTTGTCCCGCATTGTTCGGGGTTGTGTTCCCCATTCAGAGGCTCTGGGAGCTCTCTCTGATCGCCCTTGTCTCCTCGCGGGGTGCTTTTGTTGTGCTCTGCGGCACTTCACCTGCATGGATTCTGCCCGAGCACCTGGGGGGGGGTTGGGGAGGGTTGGGGTTAGGGGCTGCCCGCGGCTCCTGTCCGTGGGAAGGGGCTGAGAAGCACCGCTTCAATCAGAGAGAGGGGGGCACGGGAGGGCCGCGCCGTCCGCTCGCGTCCCTCGAGCCTTTATTTCTGTGCGGTGTTTTCTGTACGATTTTTGAGCCCCACAGCTGTCCGCCGGGCTCAACGCGACGCGCTCAGCTCCCTTCTTCCCCTTCTGAAACGGAGCTCCCGTCCGATCTGCGCTGTCCAGAATGGGGCTTCACTTTTCCCCATTATTTTCCTTTCTTTTTTTTTTTTCCCTTTATTATTACTTTTTTCTTCTTATTTTCCCCCTTTTCTATTGCTTTTTCTTCTTCCAAAGCGGTAAGACTTTATTCTCGCTGCAAAGCGAACGGGGACGCCACCAGAAGTATAAACCAAAGTTGTCCCCAGCAAAATGAACGGGGGTGCAGCGGGGCGGGGGCTGCATTCCGGCACCATTCCGACAGCTTTGGCAGCCCCTGAGCCGAGGGACGGTGCTCCTCTCCGGCTGCCCTTCGCGGTCCGAGGTCTGGAAGAGGCCCCGTCCCGTTCGCCCCACTCGGCCCTTTCTCTTTTGCTTTCCCAACGCGGCTTTGTCCTCCGCAGTCAAAACCAGGACGAAGGACAAATACCGCGTGGTGTACACAGACCACCAGCGGCTGGAGCTGGAGAAGGAGTTCCACTACAGCCGCTACATCACCATCCGGAGGAAAGCTGAGCTGGCCTCCAGCCTGGGGCTGTCGGAGAGGCAGGTCGGTGGTGCGGTTCGGACTGCACGCGGTTGGGATGCGCGGCTCGAGTCGCGCAGGTTGGGATACAAGGGACAGAAATACGCGGGACGGAGATGCGCGGATCGGCTCGCTCGCCCGCCGCGGAGCCCCGTGCGTTGAGACCGACTGCCTTTTTTTCGCTCTCCCACACCCGACAGGTGAAAATCTGGTTCCAGAACCGTCGGGCGAAGGAGAGGAAGATCAACAAGAAGAAGCTGCAGCAAGCGCAGCCCGGCGCCGCGGAGCCACTCAGCCCCGCCGCCCCTCCGTTGCCGGGACCCGCGGCCGCCCCGCCACCCGCCGGGCTGGGCCCTGCCGCCCCCCAGTGACAGCGGCCCCGGCCGAGCGCAGGGACTGCACGGATCGCGGAGGAACGGCCGGGCCGGGCCGGGGCCAGAGGGGCCCCGTGGCCACAGCGGGAACGGCCCCAATGCACTGCAGCGCCGTGTGTACAGTTGTACAGTGTGCGCGTCTCGTTCGGGGAACCGCGGCCGCGGCTTTGGTGTTATTAATATTATTATGGTTTTCTTTTTTTTTTATTTTTTTTTTTTTTTTTTTTTTTTTTTTTACCCTGGCGTTTGTTAGGTGTAAGGGGAGCGTGGCACTCCCCAGTGAATCTCAGGGATCTGTGCGAAGGTCTGAGCGATGCTGTTGGGCTGACAATGAATTTTATTGGGGAAAAAAAAAAGAAATTAAAGCACATTTTTTTTTTAAATTTTATATTTTACTTTTCATTTTTTGGTCATAACTGCAAATATGCAAAACGTTCGTGAAGAGTCGGAGCAGAGAAGGTGAGGTGGTGTCAAGTCTGTGGCAGTGAACAGCTCAGTGAAAGACACTTGTAAGATCCGTACGCCCAGTGCTGAGGACCACCATACAGAGATGGGCAGAGTGAAGCCTGTGAAAATTGCATCCAGCCATGCTGGGGTGAAGATCCTGTGCTTGCAGAGAGCTGCCAGGCACCCACTTGGCACTCACAGTGTCCCAGCACTGATTGTCACTCCCCATGCTGCCTGCCTTGCTTGGAGTTCATGCCACTGGTCAGTTTTCAGTCTCCTTGGATGTCCCAGCTCTCCTTTCACCACCTGGGGCAGAAAACTTTGGGGGAGCTCTGCGCCCATCCCCAGACACACTGTGGGCTGATATATGCAGGTTTCTTGCTGTGAGCAGCACTCAGGCTATGCTCATTGCTCGCGGGTTCGGTATGCACCGTGCCCCAGTGGTGGCATCTAAAGGATTCCAATCCGCACCGCGGCGATGCCGGTCCACAGGGCTTTGCAGGCACCAAATGGATCCGAGGGGCTGTCCCTCGGAGGATGCCCTCTGGCGCCCGGGCCGCCCTGCAACATCGATCCCAGCCAGGCTGCTGCCCGAGCTGCGGTGCGTTGCTGCGATACGCCTGTCAATAAAGGCTGTTTGGATTGTGGAGCGGAGCGCAAGGTTTGTTTGGTTAGTGGTTAGAGGTTCAAAAGTCGGCATTGTCCCACTGCAAACGAACACAAGTTTTTTCTCCCGAAGGAAAAGCTGGCTGCGGCCAGAAGGAGGGAGCGATATCGGTGGGCCCTTTTATTTGCTTCCAGGAATAATTAATGGCAGTGAAAAAAAAAAAAAAAAGAAAAGAAAAAAGAAAAAAGATGACCACAGAGTTATGAAGAGCCGTCAGTGAGTACATTGATCACAGGGGATATGTGGGTGATAGAGAGAATGTTCGGTAGGTTTTGCTGGTGTGTCCTTATGCCTCTGGAGGTGGGATGACAGAGCCCATGGACAATTTACAGAGGTGGCACATGGTGATGGTGGCACACACTGTTTCCAGTGCTGAAAACATCAGGTTTTGCAGCCCTCAGGATTTTCAAGAAAGAGCAATGATCCCCTTGAAATGCCCAGAGTAATGTGCTTGTACAAAACTCCCATTCCTCCCAGTGTTCAGTAGAGACCGAAGGCAGCCAGGTGTGTTCCAGTTTACTCCAGTCCAGTTCCATAACCAATCTCTGCTCCCTTTTGCCAGTGGATGTTCGTGTTCTGAGCTCCTCCCCTCCAGCTTCTGATGGTGGCAATGCAGAACTCACATTTCTTGGTTTAAAAAGGAACCAACTGAGCAAATTGTACCCACACCCCATTCCAAACATCTACCCCCTCCCATCCCCAAGCAAATAATCCTCCAAACTTCCGCTTCCTTGGTATTGCCCGTGTGCCATAAAGGAGTGCACAAAGGCATGAACTGGATATTGTATTTATTTGGGATGGTACCAATACCCTGCCCACCCCTTTGTGTAAAAGCCATGGAATCTGAAGTGTTGGCCTCAAAGTGCAGGAGGGTAGAAAGGGAACTCAGCCCCCTGCCGCCTCTCTTGGCACAGTACAATAAGAAAGCAGCCAGAGTTCCTTCTCTTGGCTTAGCTTGTCCATAAATGGAACTTCCTTAAGTTCTTTGGGTTCTGGGTAACAAGTGGCCATATATGTCACAGAACACCATGGAAGGAGCTGTAAGGCCTGCGGACAGAGGGCTCAGATGGTATCTAAAGGAAATACCTAACTCAGAGCATCCCCGGAGGGCACATTGTATATCCTCAACACAATAGCCAAGCACCCGGAGCATGCATCACAAAGCTTTATAGAAAGAAGAAAAAGTCTTAAAATCAGCAGTAAGCATAAAATCATAGACTATCCAGAGTTGGAAGGGACCCCATAAGGATGATCATGTCCATCTACTCAAGCAGCAACCTGCAGAAACCTGTACTGCTGCATGCATCGATCACAGCCCAAATGCATGATGGAATGCTTCACCCAGATCCCAGCAGACTACAGCCCATTTGTGGGACTCTGTGCTGAAGGCTGAGGCAGTTGGAGCCGAAAGCAAAAGTGGAGCTGCTGCCAGCAGAGCAGGTCTGGAGGCTGGCCAGGAAGGCAGCAGAGTGCAAGGTGTGTGGAGGCAGCGCAGGGCAAAAGAAAGGCACACAGTGCAGTATGGTGTGGGTGAGGGATGCAGGGAGCTGGGTGGGAGGTGTGGGCATGACCCACTCAGAGTCCAGTTGAATGCCAGAACCTCTGGAATGGAGGGGGCCAACCCCATGGAGCTGAGCTCCTCACTAGGACAGTCAAGTCCTCACTGTCCCCTGTCGTGTGCACACTACATGTTCTTGTAATTCATGTCTCACCCTCTGCTATGCCCTCTGCTATGCCCTCCATTACTTTTCTGGATCTTTCAGAAGCCAAGAGTGAGACAGACACTCCTGTGCAAAGGGACAGAAAAGAGGAAAGTTTGAGCTGTTTGTGAAAATAAGCAAACTGTTGCCAGGAGACTGGCCTTGAGACCAGGAACCCCTGTCCAGTCCTGTATTTCTAGATTGAATTATCATCCACCTGGGGTGCCCATGGGATCCCCCCACAGGTGCTTTCAACGCATGACAAGTTTGGGAGAAGAGAGGATGACGACTCATGAAGGATCTTCATTTCATGCTCACCTGTGTTCCAAGATGCAAATGTGCAGCAGACATCAGGGCCCAGTCCAATTAGCCATTAGCAGGATAGCAGGTAACAACTTTCCTCTTCTTCCTGTCTTCAGGTTGGATGTTAGGAAAAATTTCCATTCAGAAAGAGTGGTGAGGCATTGGCACAGGCTGCCCAGGCAGGCGTGCAGTCACCGTACCTGGAGGTGTTCAAGAAGTGTGTGAATGTGACACAGAGGGATGTGGTCAGTGGGCACGGTGGGGGATGGGCTGGTGGTTGGACTAGGTGACTTCAGAGGTCTTTTTCAACTTTAATGATTATGGGATTCTATGACTGATTCTCTGTCTCCTCAGGTCAAAACATAATATCTAACCCATTGGCTCAGATCCAGTTCCTCCAACAAATACATCATTCTTTCTTAAAGGCCTCATTTCCAGCCTGCTGGTCCCCAGTGCTTGGATTGGATGGAGACCAGACAGTCATACGAGACGTCAAGGCTCACATCTGTACCCCACTAACACAGGCAGGGAGGGAAGAAAAGCCATTCCCACAGTGCTAATCCGAAAGAAGAGACCAAGCCAAACAGAATGCATTGCAATAGCAAATACTGCTGCAGAGGGATAAGAGCTGAGCACACGGACCTGTCCTGCTCGAGGCATTTTTGCCTCCTTAGTCACCCAGGTATTTTCTGGCAGCTGTTGCAAGTAGTTCTGCCTTTGAGTCAGATCCTGCTCCCTTGGCACGTCTCGATGGCTTCCAAGCTCAGATAGCTTTCAGACAGCCAAAGACCTTTGTAGCAGAAAAGCTGCCTTATCTCCAGCATTATTCCTTTTGGGAGGGGATGCTCCAGCCATGGGACCTCCCTTCCTCCTCCGGCAAACAGCAAGCTCTCAGCACTTCAGACTGATGTTCGTTGTGCTCCAAAGCTCAAACACTGTGAGCTGGGAGCATGGTTCTTGTGCCTGCACCTTGAGACAGGGCTCAGGGTTCACAAGGTCCCAGTCCTGCCCTTGTTGCATCTCACGTGGAAGATAGGCAGCACCCAGACACCAGAGTCCTCAGCATTCAAAGGCATTTGGGTTCCCAAATTGAGATGAAATCAAGGGGTGGTAGAATTTGATCTGAGGAAATGTGTAAAATTAGTGAATATGAGATGGAATTTGCACAGGACTTGGTAAAAATCACCTCCCACCAGCAATGCCAAAAAGCTTTTATTCTAGCTTAAAATAAAAAATTGCTGCCATATATGAAACATTAACCTCAATAATTGAAGAAAATTCAATCCACTGCTCTTCTTGGTACGGTAAATATGGTATGTGTTTCCTGCAGCAAAAATGCTCACATTTTGATCTTCTCTGATTCTCACCACTGTGCCTGTATGCACCTCTACATGGATAGGCAACCACAGGGAGCTAAAGTGAGGTCCCTAAAAACATCTTGCACAACCATTCCCCGGAATGCAGTGACTCAGAAGAAAAGGTGACTTTCTCTTATCAGAAGCGTATTCCTTCCTCCAGGACTTAAACACGATTCCCAGCAATGACACAACTACAAAACTGCAGCACCGCTTCAGAACCACTACTTAGTTTTTGTCATTCTTTTGGAAGCTCCCATCGCAGCTCCAAAGGTGTTTTCCATCCTCATGAGCACGATCTCTGGTGGTGGCTCTGCCGGTAGAACATGCCCTGCATTATCTCCTTGCCTGTGGACATGCTGCTGGCCTGGGGCAGGAGGATGGCCCTTGGTACCACTTCAACCACAGCCACCCCCTATTCTGTGCTGCCCCTAGTCCTGTGGCCCCACACGGTTGAGCCAGCAGCACATTGCTGGATCACTGCAGCAGCGTTACACTTAGTTCAGCTCAGGAGCCCAGAGGCTCCTGGCACCATCCCAGCACTGTCCCTACACCATGGCACCAGCAGGCAGCAGCCAGGAGCCAGGATTCACAAAGCCTTGCTGCAACATGGCATCTCTCCCAGTAGAGTCTTTCTGGAGGCATTCAGCTCTGATGATTGTTCCCTGCTTGCTGTGCCAGGGAAGGAAAGGGTGGGCTGTGTTCCTACAACTGTCTTATTTAATTACAATGTGCCAGGGGATATTTCTGGGTGCTGAGCTCAATCAGCTGGGCTAAGTAATTGTGCTATGGTGCACAGCCAGCCCTTGGCTTGAACCAACAATTTCTTGTCCAAGGAACTGCTGTTCACAGAGTCAGTGAACCCTGGAACAGGTTTTGGGTGCAGGCATCCTGTCCTGGGGGTAGCAGACAACTGTCTGCATATGAGGCTTTTGGTGACAGCCCTGGCACTGAGGAGTGCTTTGAACCACCCTCTGCTTACTGCTGTGGGTGCAGGTTCAGATTTCCAAGTACCATTAGAATAATGTAAGTAAGCCAGTTCAGCAGTGGGGAGGCATAGGCAGAAGGCTTGGGGCTTTGGGAAGGTCTGGGGTTACAGTTAGTCATTCCCAGTCTGAAGGAGCATCTGGCCTTGGGCCCCATCCTATCCTGCTGCTCAGCAAATGCCTTTTATTCACTGCCTGCACCACTCAGCACTCCTGGCCATGCCACTTGCCCGCCCTCTCCACTTCTCCCTCTGTAACTGCTTGATGAAGAAATTCTGATCTGAGATTGGAGGTATCTGAGAATAAGAAAAAGAAAGGGGGGTGGGGAGGAAGGGGAAAGAGGCAAAATGGAGAAGTAAAAAAAAAAAAAAAAAAA